AGGGGAAGAAGATGGATCAAAAAGGGGAGAGGGGTAAATTTGTAATTTTCTATTTTTTTATTAAGGCAAAATTAGTTGATGAGTTGGCAGTGAGTTGGCAATGAGTTGGCTTAAAAAAAAATTTCAGATCAACGTTTTTTAAAATTATTTTTACCACGTCATAAAAAAAATTATAAAAAATGCCACATAAGCGAGTTAACGGCCCGAATTAACAGAAAGACTAACAGAGTGCATTTCATATAGTTAAAGGATAAAAAAAGTGCAAAAAATTATTGAGGGACCAAAAATGTGTAACTCACTAAAGTTGAGGGACCAAATTTAGCATTTAACCTATAAATTAAGTTTACGAACTCTTAAAGTTAATGCACTAAAGGAAATAATTTCCTTAAATTCGTCATGCTTACGTGGGATGTGTTTTTAAATTACTTCTTAAGATGTGCAAAAGGTAAAACAAAAACACTATTACTGTAACAATCAAATATCATCAGCAATGGCCACAAAATACAAACTTTACAATTATTTGTAGCAATAACAATAAAAACTTACACACCAGGCCCTTGAGGCCCACTGGCATCAGCCAGTCAGTCGTGCATTTCCCCCCATTCCCTTGGGCGGTTTCGAACCGCCCCTTGCCAATATATTCAAAAAATAATAATAATAACAATAAAAACTTATAGCGAACAAATTTACAAATATAACAAAAGTAATTTTCTATCAAAATGCAATACCTAGCCAGCTAAGAAGAACACCACCATTAAAGCAATGTAGTTAAAAAATTAGCTGCCACAGTATCTGTCATCTTTTGCACAACCTCCCCTTTTCAACCACCATTAATGCAAGGCAACGAGTATGACGAACCCAAATCAAATACATCATCAACTTGAATGTGCAGAAAACTGGAAAAAACAAAGGACACCAAAGAAAGAAAGAAAAAAAAAAAAACAGATTGAAAAGGAATATCCGAGAACAATAATACGTGGTACCAAAAGGAAGAAACTTCAAAGTTCATTTTTTGCGTTTTATTAATAATTAAAATCGAGATTTTATTGGTCTAGATAGAAATTCAAAACAAAACATTTCAAATGTAATTTTACATCAAAGACCAAAAAGGGAGAAACTTTGATTGAAACATATCTAATCTAAATTAAAAAAAGAAAAAAAAAAGAGGGACATAATTACAATGCAACTTTCCATTCCCCTTCTCCCTCCTCGTATCTAATTTAACATATCTAATTCTAAGTATATAAGAAGGCATAAATGAATAAACAATTAATCCATATCACTTGTACTTCAATTGCAACAAAGGATTCACTTATTCCAATATCTACATCACTTCGATAACTTCACGCCCTGGCATGCAGGGCGATGGGTATTATTTTTTTGGTACATGGCGATGGGTATTATATTTGGTACTATATTGTAAATTTAAATGCCAATTCTAACAATGCTTTCCATCGTAAAATTAATAAAATGAAACAACAATAACAGATGGAGATCTTCCATATAAAGCACTTCAGTTCTCAACATCCTTTTGTGTCAGTATACTGAGAAAATCAATGTAAATTTTCCTGAATAATAGTAAAAATATGCATTGTTAGAATTGGTATCAAATCCAAAGACATTTATGATGTGCAAAACTGGGTGCAAACACTAAGAAATTCTCTATATTTCTCTTGAATGATATCTCTAACATTAATATTGCCAAGAGAAAACTAATACTACTTCTTTTATTTTAAAATAATTATTTTTTTAATTTAAGAATTTAAAAATAATTTATATATTTATTTATATTATTTTTAAAAAATAATAAAAAAGGATAAAGAGAGACAAATTTTTTTATAGGATGAATGATTAATAAAATATAATTAAAGTATAAAAAATATTTATTTATTTCAAAAAATAAAAAAATA